GTCGTTCATCTGGTCCTTAGGAAAGGGACTGTTTCTTATGTTTCAATGTGAGATTTTATGGAAGCGTTTTGTGTTTGAGACATTGCACACTAGTGTGTATATACAGACCATTGGAATCAAAGAAGAAGATTTAAACTGAGAGTCTCAATAGGGCAGCCTGCCCCTCCATAATTGAGACTTGTAATTCTGCCAATAAATTTGTCATTAATTCAGTATACATTCTCCTAATCTGGAGCGAAAGAATGTGCAAGGATGACAAAGCCCCTTACCTGCTGGGTGTGTTTTATACCATTTCAAGTATTTTAGGTAATCATATCTCCTCTACAAAACTGAATTGCCAATGAAGATACGCGAGCAGAGAAAAACCATAGCATTTATATTGAATATTAACAATGATGAATGAAACATAATGCCCAAATGCATTCATCCTGAGTAGAAGATGTAGAAAATGAAGTAGTTTTAACACCTCAGAGCATGAAACTTTTGTGAAAATATTGAATGAGATATTCACCTACTATGTGCATAGTCAAAAAAATGATGCATAGCAGATGAGATCACCATAGATTTTTCCACATATTTACTCAATTAATTATGAAGCATTTTAAGAATAGAACCCTAATCCTATTACATTAAAAAATACATTGAAAACTTGATTTAAAAGGAAAAAAAGTATCTGAAATAGCTTTGAATTCAGGGACTCTTGAGATACAGTATTATTCCATAAAATATTGATACTCACCAGTGATCATTTCACATTTGATTCCATGACAGAGTCAGCTCAGCCCTGGGAGGAGAAGGAAGATGAGGAGGAGGGAGGAACTACTGAGATTGCAGAGATATTGAGGTTCTGATAAGATGAATTCCCCCCATTTTTTACATAGGGAGTATGTATTGATAGGGAGGGTAGCTGGGTAGGTAGGTTGGTAGGTAGAGCTGTTAAGAGTGCACCTGTGGTTGGAGCATTGGGTTTGGAGCAGTACTGTAGCCCTTACTAGTTTTGTAACTTCAGGCAATTTAACCTTGTGTTTCTGATGTCTCAACTTCCTGTGATAGTTATATCAGCTCCTTGGGCTGTTTCGGAGGTTAAATAAATGTATACACAAAGACACAGTTTTGGACCATAGCAAATGCAGAAAAGTTAGGTATTGTGTTTGTAAATAAAATGATTGTTGTTTACTGCCCCTGGATGGTATGTTGCCTAAGGGCGGAAGATTGAAATGGTCACCTAAGCATCTTTCAAATCTATTAGATTTGTCACTATTCAGAGAGCGCCGGATGCATTGATTTTCTTATATTTCAGAGCAGGTTTTGGAATTAGTTGTTGACCTGTTATTTAGTTGACTGTGTTAAGATTGGGAAATTTTGCTATTGTGACTGCTTTTATGGTTATTACTATGGTGGAGGTAAATCACGAAAGAGCAGAAGTTTGCTGAATGTGTGTGTGTGTGTGTGTGTGTGTGTGTGTGCACGCATGTATGTGTGCACACTACATATACGTGCACACAACCTAATTTCTCTGTAACTGGGTTCTGTTGTTTTCTGTAGTTCTCACAGGATGATACTGTCAGTCATCTAGGTAAGCTTGCTTTAGAAATCCTTAAGAAATCAATTCTAGCAGTGAGGGAACTACTAGATGCAGTGAATCCTGAGCCATTCCTCATCTGTCTTTTATGCTCCTGCTTAATGTTACATGGGCCTGGGGCTGGGCTATCTCATCATCTGTACCAAACAGGACAACTGAAGATGATAAGTACTCAAATCACATATCCAGCAGAGAGCAAAACATGTACTAGCAGTTACTTTTGGCTTAGGAAAGGAAACATAGTGTAAAAGCAAATGGTTGCATACTGACTGACTGGCTCCTTATTATTTCAGTTGTGTGAACCTACCTTTAGTCAGGAGGAAGAGGTAAAGACCTGCATTGTAGGGGGAGGTCGAGACAGGTTGTAGAAGTTAACCTAGGAACTCACTTCCATTGTGTGTATCTATGAATTATTGTCACTGTAGATCAGCTCCTTCTCCTTCCTGCAGGTGCTGTTCTGATATTTCTAGATGCTAGAATCACTTACCATGTGCCTGTATGGTTTTGACTTAGGATGGTTGTTACCTGCTGAACCACTGTGTGGCAAAATCAGACGTGTCAAATAGAAATTTCTAGATCATCGTCCTGATCCAGGGTATATGGAATTGCTCCCAGGCCAACAAATCTGTGTCAAATTGTGCCTTAATAGATAATAACTTATTTGTGTCTTAGAGGAAACAATTTATGCAAATGTGCACTTGTATGTAAATAGGATACATATATACATGTAAGTTACAACTCTGAGTATCTATTATCAAAATGTTTGATAGCATATTAATAATACAGAGAATGCTGTGGCATTAAAATGGATGACTATATAATTTTATTTGCCTCTTGGAAATCCATTGAGCTATTGATTCCACAGCAAATGTGTTTTGATTAAGATCAAAGCAAGATATGTCTGACAGCAATTCAAAATTATTACAAAGCTATTACATATTTAAAGTCTATAGCCTTCTGAGATTATTATGTGTCTGATTTTTAGCCTCGTGGGGTAAATCTATCAAGACGTTCTTCCAAGGACTGTATATTCAATGCTGTATAGTTATTCCACACTGTATACAACTCATGCAGGTGCTTGGGTGGTTTGAACACACGGTGGGATGCAAAGCTTCTAAGTGAGGATAGAATCATGAATACAGAAATACATATGCTTTATCTATGTATAGATATGTCTGAAAGTTACTTCCACTAAGTTATCAATTATTTCACTAATTGAAGAAGTTTAACCATTGGGATGTACTCCCCTAGCTGGGAATATTAGTATGTATGGTGTCTATTATGGCTGTGGCTGGTGAATGAGCCTGAAAAATCAGGAAGGTAGAATTATTTCCAAGGAAATTTTGATTTCTGATTTTTTAAAAAAAAAATAATAGTTTTTCACTTTTACAGGAGCAGAAATTTACTTCCTAGTTTGAGTGCTTATAAAATTACATAGGACCAACAATAAAAAATGTTGAGAAACCCTTGTGAAAATATAGTGGTCTTTAAATGTGCTAAGTGGAACATGAACCTGGCCAGGTTTTCATGACTTATCCATTTTTAACTTCAAAGACTCTGGTTTGCTTGCATTTTTTAAACTAATGAGTTTATCACAGCTAGTGGGGAAAATGGTTAAACTACATCAGCTGTAAATTGGTACAAAGCACTAAAAGGGACATTAGCCTTTAATCAGATTCTAACAGTTCATTAAACCTGCCCTTCTAGAATCCCTTTGTCTTTTCTCCTTTGCTTAGGGCTCCTATATAAGGCCTTTCCCCACTTTCATCTAGGCTAGACCTCCTCCAGGGTAAGAAGCAGTATCTGCTCATCCTTCTTTGTCTACCAACCAGCCAGCCTCAGGGAGGCTTTGTGAAAGTGGATTGCCAGAGCTGTGGGAGGCTGAGTGGCTGGCTGGCTGGCTGGCTGGCTGGTTGTGGGAAGGCTTTCCTGGGATGGCTGGTGGCAAACCATGCTGGCTGCTTCCAAATCAGGCAAGCAAGTGACAGAGACCATACCCTTTGTGTAAACAGACACAGGCCTAGGAGAAAGGATTTTAAGTTCGCAACAAATTAACTGAGCTGACCAGCTAGAGCACAATTCCTTCCACCCAAACAATTAGGATGTAAACTCTCCTCTAAAATATGGACGATTCAAAAGCAAAAAAAAGAAAAAAATTAAAAAAGATTATGTCCTCCTAATTTCACAAACATTTTATTTCTCCAAGGAAAGAGTAGGTGGTATAAACCTTTTAAACTGCTCATTAGTTAACTGGCATGCAATTTTCCCTTTGTTCTTTCAGTAATTATTTGTGATAAGAGATCTTATAAATTTTATTTCTTTGAGTATTTTTCTTAACAAAAGAATCAGATAATACGAGAAATAATTAGAGCTTCAGTATATTGCACTCTGTTGGTATTACTTGGCAAAAAACACCATTATTTCATAATTTATTGAAATGAGAGCTTTCATTTTAACTGTTTCATTCACAGTTTAGAAATTATACTAACTTTTGTTTCTCTTGGGCAAAATATTTTGGAGCTTTTAAAAAAACATAGTGATGGTCATGTGACTATATTATGTAATTGAGCAAAAATAAGTATTCTAAAAACTCAGTCAAATTTAGTATTATTTGTGTCCTAATTTAGTCAATATATGAGATCAAGCTTGGCATTCTAAACATGGTTAAAATGAGCCTGATTTGGGAGCTGATGTGTAATTCCGATTGCCTTCCTAATGTAATGACTTCAGAAAACTCCTAAAGCAGTGAAAATTTGTAGAAATTAAACTGAACTTAATCTTATAATATTATTTGAAATACAGTTGAGCCACAATATAAATGTTGCCTTTCAAGAGGGGATAAGCTGAACCAAACATATAAAGCCATAAAGAAATGTTCTTTCAATAGGATTTTTAAAGAATTCACTCTGAATTGAAGATTTGTGTTGGTTATTTTTAAAGTAGGGGGATTGACATGTAGAACTTGATATTTGAGCTAGAAAAATTAAATGAATCTAGAACTGCTTTATCTTGCTTGTAAATTATGTGATCTTTCTCCTTTACGGATGTTTGTCCACAGTATAACCTCTGGAACTAAAGAGGAGAGAAACATGCTTTATGTTTTCTTCTATTCCTGAGAACATGCTATAAAGGTTTCCACCCTCCTATTAGCAAATGCAGGTTTCCACACTCCATTACAGGCTGACCTTTAACCCAGAAGTCAGAGAATAAGACTGATTGGTTTCACTTCTTGGTTATTATTTCAAATGGAATTTCAGATTGGGAGAGATAATTGGTTATGCTGATATTTTCATTAATTATATTTCATTCTTAAAGAATTAGGTTGGTGGTAAGAAAAGTACCACAGTAGGAAAATGTCCATTTTTGATGCTTTGTATCTGACTCTCTCTCTCACCCCCTCCCACCCCTTTATTTTCAGAATATCAACACCTTTGAGAACAGAATGTTAATGCTTGATGGGATGCCAGCAGTCAGAGTCAAAACAGAACTTTTGGAATCTGAACAAGGGGTAAGCATGTACTTCTGTTAGTGCCCCTCCCCCTTCTCTTGATCACAGGGCCATTCATTTCCAGAGAATCCTGAGGTTTGCTAGGCATTTGGACTTTTTCCTTGGCCTAAACATTTCTCTCAAGGGAAACATCTTGTAAACAAGTCATCTGAGATTGTGATTGATTCTCTCTGTTGGAATGGATCATATCCTGAAATTAGGAAAGATGGGTGAGGTGATTAAAAAAAAACATGGATATATTTACATTGATGAGTGTTTTGAAAAGTTACTAAAATCCAAAGTAAAGATGAAGTATTAAAGTAATACAAGCTCAATGTCAAATTTTAATACAAGCTCAATGTCAGATTTTAAGTTAGGACATTACAGAGCACAGATAAGGGGATGTTGTTTGTTGGATGAATTTCTCTTTTGACATTTGTTTGATCCTTTTATTTTCTTTTAACTCCGTGAGGAACAAGTAGGGGATGGCTGATGAAATGGAGGTCGGTGAATTTGAAAATTCTAACAGAGGATGTCATTGTACCTTTACATTCAGGGATGCTCTTTGAAATGGCAATGAAATTTACAGAACATGTTGATGAGTGACAGACAGACCTGCATACTTCTATGCTGGTGTAAGGATTACCTCATAACGATTCAGCTTAGTATTCAGGTAGTGCAAGCATCCTAAAGAAAAACTGATGTATACTAATGTTTCTAATGTGACTTGTTTACAGACAACCTTGAGAAAAAGTCATATGTTCTGGATTTTGGAAGGAGACTAAAAAATTTAAGTTCACTATATGTTTCAAAACCATCTAGATAGCTTTAATCTTGATAAATTAGCCTGACCATTGTGAGAGTTTGTTCTGTTACTTTGGAGTTCTGTTTCAATTCACTTCTTAAAATCTACATGCCTTGTCATGAGTTTAAGAAATGTCTGTACAATCTATACCTGTGGTCACATCTCAAAGAAGATAAGCCTTTTTATTGCTGATGGGGAAGGAAACTGACATACTAGTTGGTTTCACAGTATTACTTTTATTTTACAATATTTTTTTTCTATTTGAACAACAAGACATCTATTCAAATCATGAACAACACCATTTAAAGAAAAAAATCAGAAAACATATGACCTGGACTTCTGGTTAAAGGCCAAGGTGATATATTCTTGCCACCTGTCTGGAACTCTTTAGCAATAGCCAGATAATTCTTTCCTCTTTACTGTCATTTTTCAGCTTGCAAGGTGAACTTTTCTAGAAGGATTTAGGTAATAAGAAAATCAAAGCCAATATCCACAGAGATTTGTGAATTGGAACTCCATATCACATTATTTATAGAAAGTGCTTTTCTACCTTAGGGAGGCAAAAATATTAGAGGTTCCTAAACATAAAAATACTAGAGGTTCCTAAATGTTATTTAAAGACTGTTCATTAAAACTAGTTTTCTTTTTTGTGTGTGTGTGACTGCAGATGACATTAGTATTTTAACTGTAAATTGTGAATATTCTGAATATTCACAATTTAAATTTAGATTATAAATACTTGAAAGAAATAAGACATTCTTTTTCTTAGTTCTTAAATGTATGATGATAGAATTTTATTCTCTTAGGGTATAGCTTCACAAGGAACAGCTTATAGTATTTAATGAAATGTATCATGAGTTACCTCCCTGTAGAATAAAATAATTTGTATTTAATAATTTGTGGAACTTTAAATCTGCTTCTTTAAATTAGCAGTAACACCTAGCATTGTGACAATTTTTGGTTTTGGCTATTTCCCTGTACTTCTTGTTGGAGGCAGCGGGGTGGGTGGTAAATACTGTATAATTTGAGAATGGAAGACTTATTTTTAGATAAGGAATACTAGCATGTGAAAGATTTTATAATTATTCTTATAGTCACAATTAAAGCCTGGTTGATGTTTAATTCCCCATCAGGAAATATAAAAAAAGTTAGTAACATTTAACTAATTAATCACATGCGATTATGGGCTTTTTTTAAGGTAAGATGTGCTTGGTAAAATGAACAAAAGGTGACAGAAGCTGGGTGTTTGTGGCTCATGCCTGTATCCTAGCTACTTAGGAGGCTAAGATAGGAGGATCACAGTCTGAAGCCAGCCTGACAGAAAAGTCCACAAGACTCATTAACCAGCATAAAGCCATAAGTGGAGATGTGGTAGTAGAACATCAGCCAGTCTTGAGAGAAAAAGCTAAGGGTCCACCTCACAGGCTCTGAGTTCAAGCCTCAGTACCAGCACATGCGCGCGCGTGCGCGCGCGCACACACACACACACACACACACACACACACACACACACACACACACACACACAAAGTGACTGAAAGTCATTAGTGCCACAGCCATGAATAAGAAAGACTAGAGGCCCCAACCACTCTGACAAATCAAGAATTGAAATTATCTCCTTGGCCGTAAGTATTTTGAAATGTAGATTGGGACTTTTTTCCTGGCTGCAGGTAGGATTTTAAGGGTATTCTGCTTTATGGAGATTTTCTTTTTCTATGCACTGTGGAGGGGGATGTTTGTTCTCTCCTGCTTATTATAAATACTCAATTCTTCCGCTGTCAACTGCCTATCTTCTGCACCTCAGAGGGACTCAGAACCAGTGAGCACATTGAGGTTGAAAAGCATTCCAGGCTAGTCCTGGTGTGATATGGTATTGCTTCAACTACCTTGGCCCATTCTCTGAAGAAACTGGACAGTGTTGGAATGTGGCCATAATTCTTTTATCTGATTATAAATTCTTATAGGGCAAGGATTGTGTTTACTAAATTTTTGGCACATGAAAAGTGCTCACTAAATATACAGGTTATTCAACTGTGCCTTCTAACTACCATAGTGAAAAATATAGCAATTGGTAGCTAGCTATAAATCCTCTTTGTCTCAGATGGTTATGATAAACATAAAATCAGAATTATAGGAAACATGCATTCACACTGGTGGCAGAAGTCTTGGTAGTATGGCCATGTGAACTATATCGATACTGCTATTAGCTGTGCATGTCTTGTGTCTGACTCAAGTCTTGTCTGACTCAAATTTGGAGCTAGGTTGTTAGAAATCTCAGGACATGATCATTGTCATTTACTGAATGGGGCTTCCATTTTCTTTACATGTGTGCGTAATCCAGCCCATGCTGCTAAGAAGTCTGTCGAAGGCCTCATGTTCTTACAATAGACTTCAGGAGCACAGCAAGCCATGTTGGAGTGACTTTGTCGATGACCTTTGGGGTGTTGTGCCCTGCTGTTACAGGAGCTTTCCAAGTCCTGTCAGCCTTTGGAGCACTTCCCGTGTTCTAATGTGTTATTAAAGCAAAGAACCACATCAGGAAGAAGAGACTGGGGGGCTGTTACACCTAGAGATGTGGAGGAATGTAGAGCAAGGGCGCTGTGTCAGACATCAAATGCCATGGTGCAATTTGGAATCACATTGGGAAGTTCCCTTGTATCTTGAGGCCTACCTGTCCCTACCTGTACAGAGGGGGAACTTCTTGTCAAGTTTAGGCTGAAACTTTGTGATCCTGAGGTAGGAGAAAGCATTTTCAATAATGACTTTCTTTTGGAGGGTGGGGTGGGAGGGGTTTGGTGCTGTTCTATGGCTTGAACTCAGAGCCTAGGTGTGTCCCCGAGCTTTTGTGGTCCAGGCTAGCACCCTACCACTTGAGCCCTATGTCCATCTCTGGCATTTTTGTGATTAATCGAAGGTGAGAGTCTCATGGGCTTTTCTGCTTGGGCTGGCTTTGAACCACAATCCTCAGGTCTTAACCACTTGAGTAGCTAGGATTCTAGGTATGAGTCATGATTACTTTTTAGGCTTCATACAATGAAAATACGTGTAAGATAGACATGGTCGGATACTTTGCAGCTAGGCAGTGGCCTTGACAACCTTGATTCTTCTCTGTCCATATCACTGCCCTCAGCTAGGGAGTAGAACTAACTATGGGACCTCAGGAGATCTGCTGCATATGGTGGAGGTGAAAGGTTGGGGGTGGTGGTGAAGAACAATTTTCCTTTGAAGAAAAACAGGAAGAAGCAGTCCTGTTGCTCTTATTTCAGTTGCTATAGGATTCATGAGCTGTTCAGTAGAAATTCCAGCATCTGAAACTCTAATTCCACAGGTAGTTTAAAGGTACATCTCAAGTTGGAACATTTTAATACATAGTGTGTGTGTGTGTGTGTGTGTGTGTGTGTGTGTGTGTGCACGCACGTGCATGCGTGCGTGCGTGTGTGCATGTAAGAGAGAAGAAACAGAGAGATTAAACTCAGGTCATCAATCATGCTCCTGTAATCTAACACTTACGCCATGTTACCACTCCTTTATCCTTCAGCAATTTTTCAAATAGAGTCTGATTCTTTTTCTCGCCAGGAGGTGTTCTCAGACCATGTTCCTACTACTTCTGTCACCTCAATAGTAGCATAGCTCTGATTACAGGTGTACACCACCATCCCTGTCTTTGTGTATGAGTACGAGTGAGAGAGAGAGAGAGAGAGAGAGAGAGAGAGAGAGAGAGAGAGAGAGAGAGTATGTGTGTGTATGTGTGTATGTATGTGTGTACCAATACTTAAGCTTAAACTTTAAGCCTGTGTGCTGTTCCTTAGCTTTTTCTACTCAAGGCTGTTGCTCCGTCAGGAAAGCCACGGACAGCTTTACTTCTGGCCTTTTGTTGGTTCATTGGAGATAAGAGTCTCACAGACTTTCCTGCCCACAGTGGCTTCTACCTATGATCCACAAATCTCAAGTAGCTAGGATTACAGGCGTGAGCCATCAAAGCCCAGCTGGCTTGTTTTTTGAAAGAATATTTTTATGTTGTGTTTGTTTGGTTTCAGTTTGGAATGGACTGGAACTGAGAAACTGAGCTCCTTCGACTCAGAGGTACTGAGATTACAGATGTGAACTACTGTTCCCAGCGCCTAATGTGATTTTTAAAAATTTAAGTACGTCTGTAGAAATGGCTACTTTATCGTGTGAAAATAGAATAATGAAATGAAAAAATAATTTAGTTAAA